TCCCTTAGCATGTACGAATCAATCACCATTTACTCCATATAGCATGTACATGAACCAAATTTACCACATAGCATCATACAACCTTAAACAATTTTATTTGAACTTAATTTGCCTCCTTCCCTACAAGACAAAAATAGTTTATATGAGTTTTCAGGATTTCACAAGACATTATCTTTTTATCTACCAAACAATATGATTCAAAATTATTTAGGAAGTTTTCTTCTTGTATTGTTTTTTAGAGCATGCTTAGGACACCATTTAGGGTATTTTAGGCAAGATGTTGTAGTTTTTAAAAATCATTCTTTCCATTGTATTAATTTTAGTGTTATTACATTTTTAGGATTTCCTTCTAGGTTATGCTTAGAAGAAAAACCTATTTTCATTCTTGTAATTTTTCCTTTCTATTGTATTTGTTTGGCCATTGTATTTAGGCCATTAGAATAGGAATTTAGAAGGATTAAGTAATAAAGCATGAATCATAGAATGTTAATTACATTTAGGAGTAATTAGAGTTTCATTTGAGTCACATGTTTTGTGCCAAAGGTGGCTGCATGTTTTATGCCAAAGGTGGCTGCACATGTGTACATTCAAATGAACCCTAAATTACCTCTAAATGCAATTAAGAATCTAGAAGGAAGGGCTACACATGGGTTAGGATAAGTGGACGTTCAATTTGAATTCAAATTCAAAATTGGCACCACTTTTAGTGCACATGTGATGACTCCTTGATCCGTGGCTTTATATGCTTGAATCCTTCACTATTGTAAACACTTTTGAATAATAGAGAATTCTGAGTTTTACTTCAGCCAAATTCTCTCCAAGAGTCACCGAAATCTCACTAACCTCCCTAGTTCTAGGAAAACCTCCATTCCTAAACTTGAAAGTGAGCTTTCTTTTGGTTCTTGAGCTTGGATGCTTCCATCCATAGTCTAGGAATTTTATCCTACCGAACCACTCTTCTTCTTTGATCATCTATTCGGTGGAAGCCTCAAGAAAAAGATCTTCATATTCGGAGAAAGTTCAAAGAAGCAAAAATTCCATCCATTGCTTCAACCTACTCCATCACGTACCATTAATTATAAATGCAAGAGAGTTTTTGTCACTTTAAAGTAACAAATCATTTTACAATGAGGATTTATATCAAAATTAGAATCTAGTTCAACTGAACCATTTCAACTAATCTGAACATATTTTTTCTTCTTCAACATCACAATCAAAGTTGCTAGTTAAAAGCCTCATATTTTAATTTAATATTATTACTTCACAAATATCTCAAAGATATTTTACACTAAAATTAATCTATTTATATATACACTGCATTTAAATTTATTACTATTATTTTTGTCTATTTTGGTTTAGTTGCTTATTAATGTTTATCCATTAATATTACTGTTTTATAAACTCAAGAGTCACCAACTCAACAATCATTGTTGCATGCTCGGGACTCTCAATAAACAAATATCAGGTAACCAACGTAATAATTTTTATTGGATATTTTATAAATTTTAGAATTATATAACAATGATAAATTTCAGAAAAAAAAATATACTTATCGTTCATTCAATTGTATTTATATATAATTTAAAAATATATCCCAACGACACCAATCAATTATAGGTATATATCATTTTTATTTTTATTGAATAGTACGTATTATGATGAATATTAAAAATTAAAAAAAAAAGTAATTTTAAAAATAAACGACTCATTATCTTTTGTTTTCTTACTCGTTTTAATTTTTTTTTTCTAATGCATTTTTTTCCATATTTCTTTATTTCATAAAATGTAAATCAATTAATTTTTATTTACATTGTTTATTTTAATGATAAAAAGTAACCGTGACTTTCAAACAAACATGACTAAAAAAAAATATGTACGTAATTATAAAAACATTATTGTAAAAATATAACGGTCATAAAAAAATATTTATGAATTTTAGTGAATATATAAATTATTAATAAAAATATATTTATCTCATTTACTGTGTTTTTAATAAGAAATTAAATTAAAATACAGAATGCTAATATGAACCAAATTGGTGTATGGTTTTCTTTTTCACTTTTACATTGAAATTTCTCTCTCTCTCTCTCTCTCTCTATATATATATATATATATATATATATATATATATATATATATATATATATATCCTGCATTTAATTTTGTTATTAATTACCTTTTTCTGTTTAAGTTTTGTTGCTTATTCATTAATGTCTCTGTTTTATAAATTTAAGAGTTGTTGTCCCATGCTCTCTTGTTAAATATTGGGAAAATAAATTAAGTTAAATAATTTTTATTCACTTTCTTTATATTCAAAAATTAAAATCAATAATCGTGACTTCCAATCCAAGATTATTAAAATAAATATAAAGTATAAAATTCAACTATAAAAAGTGTGCATAATGATATCAGATTTTCCTTCCTTTTATACAATGTGTGTGCTTTATACATTCGAAAGCGAAATTTTCTTATCTATATCTATTATAAAGTTATTTAATGAATTATTATATCTTTTAGATGTAAAAAAAGAATTATATTCTTTTTAAATAATTAGACATAACTTTCTAATATTTTTTTTAATAATTATTAGAAATACAAAATGTCTTATTCCTTGTAATTTATTATTATTGTTTTTTTTTCCTTAAGAGAAAAGTAGTAGAATAATGCATCATAAATTTTTTCTTGTAAGATAGTCACCAAAATTATATTATATAATATTCTTCAGATTTATTTATGCATATAATATAATAAAAAGTTAAAATTAAATCTGCAAATAATAAAAATAATTATTAATTATTTTTAAGTTACATTATTGAATTTCATAAATAATTATTACACAATATTGTTTATACAAGAAGCAATTATTGTTTGCAGAAGTTATAGTCGATGATGAATCATTACATAAATTATGAGGAACAATATTTATCTATTTATTCTTCTTCTTTTTTATTTTGTGCATTCTATTTCTAAGGATGGCAAAAATACTCGCACCCGCGAATATTTGCAGGTAAAATTCGTTAGGATAATAAATGGATAGACTAATTTGATACCGCGAATAATGAGGACGGATAATATTTTACCCGTTTATAAACGGGACGGGGGCGAGTATGATGATATCCATACTCGCGGGTACCCGTTTAATAATATTTCTTAAATATCCTAATTATCCTTGTCCCACATAACACTAAAATTATACTCTTTCATCTTATTTTCTTAGAAAAGTGAGGTTGATGAAGTTACCAACATGTGTTAAGCATGTTATAGAATTATGTTGGATGTAATTTGATTAATTTTCTAGCTTTGATTGGACCAATAAAATTTATGTATTTTAAGTTGTTTACTTTCGTTTAGAATTATGAGATTGAATTATTATAGCTTTGTGATGAGACTTTAACTTACTTGTAAGATTGATGTATTTTAAGTCATTAATTATCTTACATTTTTATTATTATTTCAACAAAATTAACGTTAAATACAAGTTCAAAATTAACATTAAATTTTTTATTTTTAATATTTCAATGATATTAAATATAGACTTAAAATTATTTGTAATATAATTTTTTAAATTTTTTTAAAAAATTATAAATATCCATGGATATCCGTAGGTATTCAAGAAATTTATGGATACCCGCTCAATGAATATCCACGCGGATATGGGGTGGGTATGGGGACAATTTTTATCCAGCAGGGCGGGGGCGGATTTACTATTACTCGCCCCCATGAGGCCCCATTGCCATCCTATATTTCTTACAAAAAAAAAATCTTACATCAATTAATTTTCGTTGTCATTAAATTAGATAGTTTTATAAAGACTTAAATATGTTTAGTCTCTCAAATTTATGATAAATTTATTTTTGGTATCTCAAATTTAAAATTATCATTTTTAATCACTATATTTTCAAAAAAATTTGTTTTAGTCTTTCAGGTCATCAACATATTTGAAAGTGACAAAAACAATTATGCAATATCAACTATATTTAATATGATATTTTTACTAATAAAGATACAAGTAGGTAGATTTTATGTGATAATATTTAATAGATTTCTTAACAAAAATTGAATATAAAAACTAAAACAATTTTTAAAAAAAAAATACAAGGATTAAAAAAATTAATTTTAAATTTGAGAGATTAAAATCAAATTTATCTTAAATTTCAGGGATTAAAAACATTTAAACCATGTAAAAATATATGATTCTAAGTCAAGACTCTAATTATTTTTACAAGGTATCATGACTGGGCAAGACTCTAAGTCAAGGAAACTTGGCCTCGAAGATCAATCCTGAACAAATTGAATTAAACCCTTACAAATTAAAATTAACACATTTGTCCAAACATTTTTAAAACTTCTCTTATCAAACTTCTTAAAAAGACTGAATTGCACAAATTATTTTTATCATGAAAAAGGCTTACTTCATTTCCCTTTCTTATTTCTTCTCTTATATGAATTGGTTGGAAAAATTATCGAAACTACAAGTGACAATTTTTGGTATCCAACATAAGATAGATTTATTTCTTAAGCTCAAGTAGCATCATGTGAGTCTATATCACTTCAATATCAATACAACTCTAGCATCATCACCTAATAGTTCTTAGGTAACACTACCAAACCACCCTTTTGAACCAGCTTGTTGCTTTTGCTTTCTGAACTTTGAAAGTAAACCCTTTATATATATAAACAGAACAAATGCAATGCTACATGGTAGTCATAATATGTTAGGACTTAAATGCTTCCTCAAAACAAGAAATTTAAGTTGGGAATGTATCATTCAATTGCTTTCCCTTTATATTTGGGGTATGGAGAGGCAAAACTAATAATTCTTCTTGGTTTTATTTCATCGACTAATTACTATGCATCAAAAGTGTAAGAAACTTTTATACTATTATCCAATCACAAATTCTCGTGTATAGACATTTACACTGATGGTGCATAAGAATTAAACTCTTTGATAACAATTTGATCAACAGTTAGCTGAGAAAAAAGAAAAGAAATCAGGATCCAAAGAGGAAACAATTGACTTCTATTACCTTTGAATGCATTTTGTTGGGACTCTACTACAATTTCTAGTAGAACAATGGGAGAATTATTCACCCAAAAAAAATTAAATAAAAAATAAACATGCATCTGTAACTCAGGCTGCTTATTGATGGAATCCAACAACAAATCTTTGAATACTACTACAATTTCTAGTAGAACAATGGGAGAATTATTCACCCAAAAAAAATTAAATAAAAAATAAACATGCATCTGTAACTCAGGCTGCTTATTGATGGAATCCAACAACAAATCTTTGAATACCAGCAAAATCAGCACGTATTTCTAAATTGCAGAAGCTTTCACTTCTATTGTTTTCCATGTAATCAACAAGAGCCATGCACTGCTCCTCTCCATTTGTCTATTGAGAAAAGTTGAGAAAGAAATAATAAGATGCAACATAAAATGAATGTGATACACTATGTAATAGCATAAAAAATGCAAATTGAAAAATAAAATATTTTCCACTTTCTGGGCTACTTGTCCCATGAAATATCCTTGTGTGTATACTTATTAGCACAGAGTATCATTCTACTTTGGATTACGATTCTATAACTCATTGTTAAGACTCAAGAAGAACGTTTTGTAATGCGCTTTCTTTTTGAATATGGGATCATATTAACATATTATGATTGCATGTTTCTCTTGTGTGATGCTAGAGGAACAAACCAAGGTTTCCTAACACAAACAGTCAACAATCTAACCATAAAACTACTTACTATTGTCTTCAGTTCTATCTTTATAATCAACTATTCAGTTCACTAGTTTCTACCCCAGATTCTGACCCATTAAACCCTTCCATTGTGTTATATCATGTGGACTTCATAAACATTGGTCTATTGCTAAAATAATAAATATACTATTCCATACTCTAAATTTTTATTTTGCAACAGTCTAACATTTTGATTTTCATCTTGCAGACCCATGTATATGAAAAACTAGGGGAAAACTTCATAAATAAATAAAATTGAAGGGAAAGGTCAACCGGAGTAAGGTTATACTCCAAATCCATATATTGATGCACAATTGATTTGCATAAACAGGGGAAAAAATGCAGAAGCCTAAAAGCAACCATAACGACTACAAAGTGACTGCAACATTGCTGCCTTTATTTAAACTAAAAAGTTTGAGTCGCAAAATTAAAATAAAAAATTATGACCATATTGACAGACAGTGACTGGCATCATATTAGTAGCTGCACAACTCCCACTATCTTAGTTACCACAACCAGGATTTAAAATCATAGATTGAGGAAAAAAAAACAAGAGTATTGCAAAGGAAAAAGCTTAGACCAAGTTCTTTATATCCTAGCCATTTAGTTCTTAAATTACAAAATGACATGTGGATACTTTTAAAAATTTCCGCAACATATTCTGAGTATCAGGCTATTCAATGTTAAAAAGAACATCTATATATCATTCATTTTTTGATTTGAGAATTTGACTGCAAGAATATGAGGGACTTGATCTAACTTTTGTCATATTACAAAACTAAATTTCCTTTTATCATCATAGATTTCAGAATTGTCCACAAATAACATAGGTTTGTTGCTTAAATTGTCAAAGGGAATCTCAAAATTTTGAAAGATCTGCATCAGATTTAAGCCAACACTCACACACGAGCACTAGCCAAAATATAAGTAAAAAATGAATAATAATACACATTATAATCATATATATATATATATATAATTAAAAAAAAAAAACAACAACAACAGAAAGGAAAGCCCTGTGATCCAATTCATGTAATGGCATGAAATTGCATGTACTTTGAGAATTTCACTTGAATTCTAGTAAGGTGATACTAGACAGGAAAAAATAGTTAAGCAAACAATGACTTATTTTTAAGAATTACATATATGACCTTTCTACAAAAGATGGTCAATAAATTTTCATCAAATTATGTCAGGGGTACCATTTTCATTAAATTTTATGAGTAACTGAATAAGCAAAAATGCAATAAGAAACATAAAAGAAAAATGGTACAGATTTGTACAAAACTTACCTCAAATGCAAAAAATCCACCAGGTTTCAACATTAAAGCAGCCCCATCACAAAGATGGAGAAGAGATTGCATGCCATCAACACCTCCATCTAATGCAACTCTAGGTTCATGTCTACCAACTTCCGCTTGTAGACCAGAGATGTCTTTGCTAGATATATAAGGTGGGTTGCTTACAAGACCAGCAAGCTTTCCTTCCATATCTTTCAATGGTTCAAACCAAGATCCTTCCCTCAATTCAATTTTGTCCTGTAAATATCAACAAAGTGGTTCAAATGAGGACCATAAAAATCATAAGTTGAAGGGGTAAGACATTAAGAAAATATTTTTTACAGGGTACAAATACATGGAAACAAATTTTAAATTATTTGGTTTTCTTGCTCGTTAAGTTGATATACTTTTCTATAACATCTATTTCAACAAAATGGATAATGTCCCTTGCCTAAAACAAGTAAAATAGTGAACTTTCTTCACTCCTATTTTAACATCTAATTTAATTTTCCACTTTAGCTTGAAAGCAAACCAAAAACACACAGCATCATGCGAGATACATTCAATGAAAGGAATATGAAAACTCGACAAAAAGACTTACGGAAGGTGGAAATATGTGCTTAAAATTTTCAGCATGATTATAAAAAACCAGTGGAGGAAGTGAAAACCATGACGGGGAAAAGGGCAAGCAGCAAGGAATTTGACAACATGGAGTTTTAAAATGCTTGAATCTCATCTCTAACCTGTAAGCAATACCTCTGCACATTGTAAGCTGCAACAGCAACAGCCACAGGGCTCAAATCTGTGGCAATAACTCTCCCTCCTCCACTCCCTAAAACCCTACCAATACCTATAGCAAGTGCACCACTTCCAGTTCCCAAATCAGCCCAAACCCCTCTTTTCAAATCCTCATTCTCTGACACCACATCAGACACAAAATCAACAACAAGTTCTGTCTCAGGTCTTGGAATCAAGACCCCTTCCTGGACACTCAACACCAAGTCCCTCCAATGCTCACATCCAACCACATACTGAAAGGGCCTCCTCTCTTGGATCCTTTGCCTCCATAAGCAGTAAAGCTCCTCCATTTCAACCCTCATTTTCACCCTCTCATCATCCCTCACACCCAATGAGTGATGCTCCACAACAGCATCCTCCATGAGCCACTTCAGCTCCCTGCACAAAATGCCTGAGTCTGGCCCATTATCCAAGTGCACAAAAGTTGACCCAATTGAAAAGGCAACACCTTTGGCCCAATCATGCCATTTTCTGAGATCACACAACTTAGTTGAGTAAATGGGTGGCCTTAGAAAGAGAGGGACTTGGGGTTTCACACTAGTGGGGGGAGATGACAGCGCTGAAGTGCAAAAGGGTCTACACACAGAGATAAAAGAAGAAGAATTGAGGAGTGGGGGGAAGCTATGAGGACGATATACACTTGTTAAGGGTAGCTTCATTTCAAGAGAATGAAAAGGAAGAAACTTTTGTGTTTCTCTACTGCATAATCAGTTAACAACTTCAACACTTGCATAACTCAACAAAGGAAAAAAAAAATTTGAGTAAGGGTTGCGGAAATTTTCAATTCACTTGGAATTAAACCAATAAACTCCAACGATTTCAAATTGCTTGCGAAGCACCGAGAGAGACTCTGAAATGAGGAGTCAATAAAAACATGGATGGATAATACTGCAGGTGAATGCGATAATCTTTGTTTAAAATTTAGATATAAAAAATAGACTTAAATATCATCAAATTATCTCTAATTACATCAATTTTACTTTATTATTTATTAAATTTTTTATTTTAATTATTTAATTAATACTTTTTTAATTTAATATATGATGTTAGTATGCTTCTCTTAAGTGATAACGTGATTGATGGACTATCATGTTATCATCTAAAAGTGTGTCATATCATTTAAATATTCACTTCATTCTCTATGTCATTAACTATGTCAGATTTTAATTTTTTTTTTTTTTAAATTCGTTTCGCGCATTTGATGTTGGAACTTAAGGAACTCAAAAATTGATTCTCTCTTATTCATCTTCAACTTGAACGTTTAATTTTGTAAGCTACAAAATTGTTCTTTTTTGTTCTTCAAAATCTTGAAGTTGTAGTTCCATATCGTTTTCATTCTCATTCTCTATTTTCATTGTTCTTCATTTCGGAAACGCACATTCTGTGTGGTTCTCTATTCCTTGCGTTTGAAACACCGTTCTTCATTGACCATTCGTGGAGGAAAACTATTAAAGAGGTGAAATTTTGTAGTCATAAATAACCAAAGTTGTTGTCATTGTTAAAGCACTGGCAAAGCTGTTCTTGACGAATCCCTTGTCATTCTCTGTCTGTGTTGAAGGTAAGTGGTTGCTTAGGTTATTAGGGTTTATAATTTGATAGGCTTTAACTATTCTTTTGTTGAGCTTTTTTCTGATACAAAGATTTGGTTCCTTTGTAGTTGTGTTGATGAGTTTTAATTTGATACTTCATCAAAGGGGTCGTTTTGAGTTAGACCCCATGATGCATTATGTTGGGGGCAGTGAGACAGTGCGTGTGAACAATATGGATATGGATAGGTGGTCTTACTTTAAAGCCTTGGGAATTGTAAAAAAAAGACTTGACATATAGAGAGCAATTTGTTAGGCTGTGGTGGAAATTTGGTGCTTATGATTTCAAAGAGATAAATTGTGATAGTGTTGCATTAGACATGGTAAACTTTGCAATTACTAACAATGTGGAAGTGGAAATGTTTGGAGTTTGTTATGGTGGCAATGAAGGTGTTGTTGGGGACAATTTCTCTAATAGTGATGATGACTCTGTGAGGGATGTTCGATTGGATGATTCAGAGGAGGAGAGAGCTGCTGGATTGGATGATGAATTTGATATAGAAGTTATTGAATTTGGTTGAGTCAAATGTACTCGAAAGAAGATAGTTGCAAGGAAACAAAATGATGATCTTGAAGAGGAGTAGGAAGATGTTGCTCATAGTGTTCACAACCCTAACTTAGAAGCTATCAGAGTTGAAGTAGTTTGGATTTCTAAGGATGAAGAGGATGTTAGAATGTTCACCCCTGAGCGTGACTTACCAAGTGTTTTGCAAAGCGATGCACATAAAAGACTTGCTGGTGTTCAAAATGTTGGTTTTGTTGGGAATGATGATGTTGGTGTTGGTGGGAATGATGGTACCGGTGCTGCTGGAAATGCTGGAAATGATGCTAGTGTTGAGGATGTTGTTGGTGCCAATGTTGTTGCTAAAAAAAAAAAGAAAGAAAGGAAAAGGTGGTAGAAAAAAAGATCCAAATAGAAATAGAGAATTTTGGACTACATAACAAAGGTTTTGTAAATGCTAGTGAATTTTATAATTCACAAAGAGTAGAAGAAGATATTGAGCATGGGTATGCTAGTGAGATTCTGAAAAGTGATGACTCTAAGGAAGATGGCCTACGTAGAAAATATGACAGGTTTAATATGGATTTGCTAAACAAAGGCTTCAAATGGAAGTTGGGATTGGAATTTGGTTCTATTAAGGAGTTTAAAGAAGCAATTGTAGAGTACAATGTGCCGAATGGAAAGGAGATAAGGTTTGACTTAAATGACAAGATGAGGGCCAAGGCAAGGTGTATACATTATGTTGAGTACTCTGTCTATGTGAGCAAGGTGAGCAATTTTGAGACTTACAGGCTGAATACTTTACATGATAAACACATATGTGGAAGGGTTTTTCATAATAGATGTGTAAAGCCTTCCTAGGTTACCAAGGTTTTGATTAACAAAATGAAAGCCACAACTAGTGACATGGCATTGAAAGATATAGTTGGTGAAATTCAAGCCAACTATTCCACTGGAATATCAATGTCGAGGGCATGGAGGGCTAAACAAATAGCAAATGGTGTCATTGATGGTGACTTTGTAATGCAATATAAACAACTTTAGAGGTATGTTGCTGAAATTAAACAAAGACACCCAGATAATATGTGTGTTATCAAGGTTCATAGGCCAAGTTTGGAGATATAACCAACGTTTAGAAGTTTCTACATGTGCCTTGAAGGTTATAAATCAACATTTAAAAAGGCATGTCGACCTTTGATAGGTGTTGATGGATGCCACCTAAAGACAAATTATGGAGGACAACTATTGATTGTTATTGGTAGAGACCCAAACGATCAATATTTTCCCTTGGCTTTTGTTGTTGTGGAAACTGAGACGAAAGACTCATGGAGATGGTTTCTAAATTTGCTTCTAGAGAATATTGGTGATGTACAAACCAAAAAATAGATTTGTATAAGTGACCAACAAAAGGTAAATTGATTCATTATAATTGTCTATGTTGCTGACAAACTTTTGTACTAACTGTCAATTTATTTTGTACATGGTTTGCTACAAGTGCTTGAAGAATTTCCTGTCCCAGTTGAACATAAGTTCTGTTTGAGACATTTGTACAATAATTTCAAAAAGAAATTTGGAAAAGGTGTGTAACTAAGAAACTTAATGATGGGTGTTGCCAAAGCAACGTATGAACAATTGTGGAAGTCTAAGATGCAGCAAATTAGAGATGTGAATGAGGCTGCATATTGGTGGTTATATAACCTTGACAAAAAAACATGGTATAAACATAAATTCTCCTCTTATACAAAGTGTGATTTGTTGATGAATAATTTGAGTGAGGCATTTAATAGTACTATACTTGTTGCTAAGGATAAGCCAATCATAAACATGTTTGAGTGGATAAGGATGTACCTCATGAATAGGTTTTCAAACCTTAGAGATAAGTGTAAAAATTACACAGGTCAAATTATGCCTAAACCTTTGAAGAGGTTAGATTGGGAGGTTGAAAAATTTGGGAATTAGGTTGCATGTTGGGGTGGGGATAGAGATTTTGAGGTGAGCCACTTACACAATGGTGAGAAGTTTCTCATTGATATTAACCGAAATTATTATAGCTGCAATTTTTGGGATTCGGTAGGTATTCTATGCAAGCATGCAGTGGCTGCACTACAGTTCAAAAAGTTGAACTTCATGAATTATGTTAACAATTGTTATTCTAGGGATACATGTTATCTGTTATGCAAACAAGATTTTTACAACAAATGGACATGATATGTGGCTTGTAAGTCATTTTGGTGACATTCAACCACCCAAAAATAAGAGAGGCCCTGGGTGACCAAAAAAATTGAGGAGAAGAGAACTAGGTGAAGTTGACCTAAATCTAACAAGATTGATAAGAGACAATGGAAAGTATAGATGTAAGAGATGTGGTGGTCAAGGACATAACAACAAAACTTGTAGACAACCAGCACCAGCATCACAACCAGCCAATGAAACACCAGCTAATGTTGAAAGTCTGAATGTTGAAGCAAATAGAGAATATTGCAGTTGAGACAACCCATGTGGTGGTTGAACCTAATGTTGAGCAACAAGTTCCTTAACCAATGCAACAAAAGGTATATGTTATAATAATAAGGAATTCATTGCTTATATACAAATACTAATCTTTTACCTTTGTAGTGATGGAATCACACTAAGGCCAAGAAGACTAAGAGGTGATATTTTGAAAGAGACAAGATGAATGGGTTAGTTTTGAAAACCCTAAGAGGAGTGGGCCTACTTTTGGGCCTTAGCTCCTACGTTTTTATTAACATAAAATTTATTCTTATTTTGCCTTTATCTTTAAATTTCCAATTTTCACCCTTGTATTTTGGGTATCTTAGACATAGACATTTGTATCTCAAGCAACTAGTAAGTCATTTCCACTACTCAAATCTTTTCCAACTATTCATTTAAGCTAGTTTCCTCTCAACTAAGCCTATCATTATAAATTTGCCTTCTACCAATCAAATAAGGTTTTACTATTTGATAATTCATAAACTAATAGTGTTACCAGAGCTACGCTCGGTCATCTACTGGGCTTAGAAGTATTACCTCACTACTTCCAAAAAAAATTCTAATATTCTACCCATTTTCAAAACAAAACTCTAATCCATGGACAACACCATTCAACCATTATTTATCCCTATTCCCATTTTTAATGGTGAAAATTATGATTTTTGGAGTAACAAAATAAAGACATATTTCACCTTCCAAGATTTATGGGACATGATAGAAGAAGGATTTTCTACTCTAGAAGACACCTCATCCCTTACTACGGCTCAAAAAAAGGAGTTGAAAGAGAACAAACAAAAGAATTCAAAGGCGTTATTCATTTTGCAACAAGTTGTGACCGACACAATTTTTCTGAGAATAATGGGTGCAACAACAGCAAAAGAAGCATGGACTACTCTTCAAGAGGAGTTCGAAGGAAGTGAAAAGGTACGTGCCATAAAATTACAAACTCTACAGCGTGACTTTGAATTGTTAAATATGAAGGAATCTGAGACCGTAAAGGACTACTATTCTAAGATAAAAGAAATAGTTAACCAAATGAGAGCGTACGGGAAAAATATTCTTGACAAGAAAATAGTGGAGAAAATTCTAATTAGTGTTTCCCATAAATATGATCCAATCATGACAATGATTGCGCAAACAAAAGATCTATCTACCTTATCAGTAGCAAAGTTGATGGGGTCACTTGAAGCTTATGAGCAAAGGTTGAATAGGCATGATGAGGACTCAACCGAAAATGCCTTTCAATCAAAGCTCAAATTACGGTCTCAAAATAAAGAAAACATGAATAATGGAGAAACTTCTAGAAATAAAGAGGA